TGAAGCAGAAATAACTCCCTTTTCAGAATAAGACTAAAGACGTATTTCTTCAGCCATTAACCTTGAATTGAGACAGAAATAACTCAGTGACAACAGAGTCAACAGAAGGCAGTGGAGAACGATGCAGAATTGAACCTCTAAGTCCTTCAAAATCACTACGAAGTGTTGTTAAAAATTGTACCAATCGTTGCTGCTCTCTACGTTCAATATAAGCACCACATGCTTTTAATTCTGCCGATTTTGTAAGAGCCAATTGATCCCAAAGATCTGTCATGGCAAAATAGAACTCTTGAATACTCATATTCTTCTAGTGAAGAGCTCGTATGTCATTCTCTAACTGATACTGTTTTACAAAATTTGATTATGTGAATAACCGTTGCAGATGATCCCAAACCTCCTTTGCTATCTCATATTTCGCCAACTGTGTACCTATAGAATTCTCAATAGAATTGTTGATCCAAGTAATGATCTTTGCATTGTTTACTTCCCATTCATAAAATTAGCTCTGATACCATGTTAAAATAATTAAGATCAAACATAAAAGGAGGCTACAATTCTAAATAATCAATGTATTATGAGCGCATAACCTTAACTTAAATACATATAAAGTATATATAAGTTAAACTAAAAATATTATTTTATCCTTAATAAATAAAATTACATAAATATTATTTAACAATTAATCATAAAAAGAACTAGAAGATAAATTAAAGGAGAAGAGAACGAACTAACTTTTATTATGTTTCTATATATGGCGCCGCTAAAATCGTCTAAAGCAAACTTTATACATTTTGGACCTTTTCACGCCTGATTATTATTAGGCTTTCAAGGTATAGATGAAGATATTGGTTGTTGGTCCATGAAATCCTGCAAAACATGTCTAATATATAGCCTTAATGCTTGTGATGTAAATGACTCTTTAATGCTTCAGTACGTGAGCTTGGAGGAGGAATATAGCCTTAAAGATTGTGATGTATATTAAAGAGATAATAAATGTGTATGATAAATGCAAGAGAAGAGATAGAAGATACATTTTGATGTTTGTATATGAAGTAATAAACCGAATGCTTTACTTGGTGATTCATGCATGGGTGCCGATATACCTGCATTGAAAAAAAAAAGAGAGAAGTCATTTATTGGAATACACTTGTACTCTATTTCAAGGGTAAAATTCTATGAGATGATAGTCCTTAATGAAAAAAAAGATAATATTTTTTGTTCTTTTCCGTGCCCGTATGGATGTGCCCCTGGAACATGTTTCTTTCTCTGTTTTTTTTTGGCACTAACTCGAGCACAGATTATCCTGTGCAAATTCGGTTTCCCGACCATTAAAATGAAAATAAATCTCTCATGAAAGGTAGATCGTTTTCTATGCATGACGAGTATTACGTACAGTCAATCGTCACTCCTAGCAGTGGCAAACGCTAGGGGCCGAGGTTGGGTTAAAGACAAATTTTCCAACTTTTGTGGGGATAGTGAAAGCAATGCAATGACAGTGCCGGGGCTATGATTTGACCTCAGTGCTCGTGACTGCTCCCCGGTCGTAAAACATAAAGATATTCCCTCATCCCCGAAAGCTAAAGAATGAAAAGGAGTTTTCTAGGATTGGATCACTCTAAAAAATTTCAAACGAATAAAACAATGTACAAAATATTCAAAATATTCAGAGAAATAATATAATTTAAGAAACTGTAAATAATATTTATGATTTACATGTCGGAGGTAACCTTAGCTACTCTTTTAAATTGAAAAGTTACTGGAAAAAAAATCAGTGACATGATTGTTATTTTACAGCGAGACAAGAACAATAAAAAACCAAAGCGGAAATTTTCAAGGGTGGAGGCATGCATAGGTCAGGGGAGTTTGAGTGCAGGTAAAGATTTTATAATTAATTTTATAAAAAATTATAATTTTTTATTAAATTATCAAAAAATTCTAAAAATTTATGTAAATTATTCTAATATAATATTTTATCTTGAGTTAAAATTTCAGAATTTTTTAAGAAATTTAGAAATTTAATAAAAAAATCATAATTTGATCAATTTTATATTATTAAATATAATTTTCAATCCGACCATCAGATTGATTTGAAATTTTACGAGGGCTCTTAAAATATATTAAATAAAATCTTATTAAAATTTTAGGATGAATAGAGTTTGATAATATTAACAAAAAAAAACCATCAAATAAAAATAAAACAACTTATTAAAGGTAAAATAATTGTTTGTTATTAAAAAATAAAATAAATCAATTCTTCCTTCTTTTTATATATTGCTGATTTGGAAAAAGCATAATAGAAAAAGAAAAAATGAGATAGAAAGAGAAAAAAATAAGGGAAAAATATTAAAAAAAAATCCAAAGAAAAAAAAAAGAGAGAATAATCTTGTAAACTTACAAAGTACAACTTATAAAATATTAATATAAAAAAAATGAAGTGAATGAAGAAGAAATTAAGATAGGTAAAAAATTTAATTACTTTATTTTTCAGTTAATATAAGATTGTTATTCTATCCTGGTTGAGAGATTATTATAATATCAATTCATATTCAATTATAAATGAAATATAATTCAAAAAACATTGAAGAATATATACTGAGTTTATTTTTTTTTAATTTTATCTTTTTTTAAATTTATTTTTTAATATTTTATGTAGTGTATTTGAATTAAAATTTTACTATTAATTTTAAAAATTTATTTACATAAGTTAATAATTTATTTTAAAAAAAATTATATATTTATTTAATAGTTTAGAATTAAAAAAAATTTCTTGCATCACCCTTGAACAGAATGGATTGCCGATTAATTGAATCTATGCATTTTGTTTCTTCTTCTCCTCCTCCTGGTAATCATAATGGGATAGCGTTGCTGGCATTCCACCAGGCCTCTTTCTCAAAGTGGGGGGCGTCTAGTCACGATGATAAGAAATGTGCGGGAGAGGCACAAGAAAGCTACTACTCACAAATATGCTAAACAAATGGCACAATGTTTCCACATCTAAAACACGTTTGATACCTTTTTGTCGGCACTCATGTTTCACCAAGATATGCAAGATATGTTTTTTTCAGTGGATGGAGTATTCTCATTGATTAGTTATTCAAAAACAAATTTAGCATGCCTTGTAGTATTATTATATTGATACAATTATATATTTATTATTAATAAAATTTATATTTATGTTTAATATTAATAAATCTAATATATTATTTATGAATTTAGAATATAGATCAAGTTTATAAAACAAAAATACTTTATAGAAAATTATAAAATTATTGTAATTATAGATTTTATATTACATCAAATAATTGTTCCTCAAATATTTTTTATCGATATTCTTTTAAATACTGGTATTAAAGCAGTAAAGATTGATATATATCATGTTCTTTCTTTTATGATAGAAAGTTGATACTCTTATAAGTTGAGGTATAAAAGATATTTAAAATTAATATGTAGGTGTTTATTATAAAATATTTATACTAAACTAATACATATGAGAATTACATATAGAGATATCACGTATGTCTATGAAAAAGCTCAAGTGACGGTTATGTAAGTAATTTCTAAACTTAAAATCACTAAATTATCTTACAGAAAGAAAGTTATGCTTTCATCATATTACATGTTATTTTAATTGATGTAACGAAAGTGCAGGCATTAAGTACAACATGAACTATATAAAGGTACTTGAGTGATTAATAGAAGATTCATCATCCTAGATGAATTAGAAAAAAATACTCTATTTGTTCTCAAATAGTATTGAATGAGAAATTCTTGATCAAAATGAAATAAAATTTTAAAAGAGTTTTAAATTTTCTTCAAAAGATTAATGACTATTATATAGAGAACAAACATGATTTGATATGGCAGATATAGTTTATAATTTAATGTTAAATTGAAATATTATTGAAGAAAGGAGATATTAATTGCATTGAGAAACTGATCACTAAAAGTTTAAGTCAAACTACTAATAATTTTTCTAATATTTAGAGGATTATGATGCATTTTTAAATGATGCACCTGGTCTTCAAATATAAATTAATTAATTACTAAATTGATAATAAATTAATTTATTGAATTATAATTATAATTTATATTTGGACCAATGTATTAGAATCTAATAGGTTACACACATTTAGAACTATTACTCAGAAATTAAACTTTAATGATTTAATTAAATATGACTTGATTAAAATATATTTTAGAAATTAAAAATTAGAATATAATTAATACAAGTATTATATTTCAAGAGTTAGAAAAATCAAGTAATTACTTGATTGGGTTAATTTTTATAATTTTCTTGAATTAATATATAAATATTATTCAAATGAAAAATTGATATTTTATCAATTTATAATGTTTCTTAGATTTTTCTATAAATAATAAATTATATCTCTTAATTTTATTTTTTTTTGTTACATGTTCAATAAAAAAATTATATAAGTCACAAATACAAATAAAAAGCTGGCTCTTTGGATATAACAATCTTATTGTTCTATATAGAAATTTAAAAAATTTCTTACTGATGGTTTATTTAAATTATCTTTGAAGCCGGACAACTAAATGATTTATGCAACTATTAGCCCTTAAAAAATTATTTAAAACTAAATAAAATCAAATTATCATATAATATATCTCTAAATAATTATAAATTTGTCTTATAAAATTTAAAAAACTATTAAATAATTTTATTTTATTATTTCAACTACCTAATATAATATTTAAGAATCCAACACTATCATGTGCTATAGATAATCAAGCTACATGCGAGTGTCTCTTCCAAGAAGACTGCCTGATCTTTATATTTGATGCCCGTCTTGAGCAAGCTCAAAATGGATCACGAAATTCACTGTGTTGCTAGTCAATATATAGTCGTTTGCTGGGCTGAACTTATTTTTCCTGTATATCGTTCTGACATTCCTGGAAGCTTCCCATGTATGGTGATGAGCAGATGGAATCGGGCCCATGTACGATCGAGCGGGGTTCCCGTGCTTAATTATTGTGTGTTGTGTAAACTAACCAGATGCTTCAACTTTCTGCAAAAATGTTGTTTTTTCAAAAAAAAAAAAGAAAACTTCACGAAAATTATAAAAAGGAGCAGAAGTTTCCCAAGAGGACTTTGGAAGAGAGTTTTTGGACTCCATTGCTCCAATTTCGTGTCAGTGGAACCCCTGACAATTAACTCCACTAGCCCTTAAACACCAGTTGATGCATGCCAGCTAGCCCAGTCAGCTACAGGGCAGCCACTAAAATAATGTCTCAGCAGACATGACGAAGGGAAGGGAGTCAATAGTATCCTCTATCATCTTAACTCTGCAACGCCATAGAAACTTGTAAAACAAAAGCATAGAGTTGAAGTTGTTATGTACAGTTAAATAGATTTTATAGATTATTCAAAAACAGATCATGCAGTCACATCACCGCATGTATAAAACTTTGAAGTCTACTGTTTCACGCTAATAAAGTTTTCCAAAGATCCTCAAAGACTACCACAGGTAAATGGATCAGAAATCATTTCAAATCTCCTAGTTTCAGTAGAAGGGTAACAGACAACTAGATATAAGAAGCCTGTAAAAGTATTGTTGCTAAGATATAAAATCTCATAGAAGGGAAACACGATACCACAACACACAACAGTTAATTCCTCTTGAATCTTAGGGACATCACCTAATCCTTGCTACCTCCAGTTAATTCAGAAATGCAAAATTTGGGTTATGCATGTCATAGCCTGTAGTCCTAAATGCTACCTAATAAAACAAAAAACTGAAAGAAGCACTTCAATTGAGTTAACTGTGGAAGGCAGCATCTCATCCCAGCAACCTGCTGTGACTTTTCTCTCTGACCAGAACATATAAACCACGATAAGTGCCACTTTGAACACACTCTCCAAAATGCCAAGCTTTGGATAAAATGAAGTAATGCTCATATATTAAAGGAATCATGTATCGAACATGAAAGTATGACTTGCCCAAAATACAGTTGAAGTCATTATCAACAGTCAGCTCTGTAAACAGAAATCTCATTACCAGAGCTACGATGAAGCAAAGACAGGCAAAACAGAACAATCCATCCTTAAGTAATGCTCATATATTAAAGGAAGCATGTATTGAACTTGAAAGTATGACTTCCCCAAATACAGTTGAAGTCATTATCAACAGTCAGCTCTGAAGGAGCAGAAATCTAGCTACCAGAGCTACGATGAAGCAAAGACAGGCAAAACAGAACAATCCATCCTTGCCTTTCTCATGATCTGAACACAACAAAAAGAAATTGACGGTTCAGCTCATTGTATTCACCTCTGATACCATTCCTGAAATACAAATTAGTGGAACTTTAAACATCGCTAGATTCCAAGGTATACTATTATGAAATTTTCAACTCCCCATGCAAGATCCAAGATTTCCTTCATAAGCTGGAGCAAGAATATACAAACATGAAGGAATTAAAAAACTAGAACTCCTTACCGTGTTTGAGAATTCTAGGCGCTGGAAGCTCGTTAGGCCTATGCTAACTTGCTGAGCAAATACAGCACTGGATATATCTTGCTCTCTTAAAATGAATACCTCCCAATTTAGTTTCTGGCTATCACAGAACCAAAATCAACATTTCTTAGTGCAGATAAATTATCTTTAAACAATGAGAGAGCCCACTCATCCACATAATTTCACAACATTCAACTCACTTGCAGAATCGCTTTTTGATGCAAAGCATCTATCCTTCTTAACAAAAGTCTCACAAAATAAAATTCACAGTTCAACTGAATCTTCATACAATGACAAAAAATAATAGCAAGCTGTAATTCGCTGGCAACTACACAATCAGTAATTCATATCTCGCTTCTTCCCAGATATCACAACTTGAAAGCACCAGCACATAAATGCAAGTCATAATGGAAAAGGTAGTTTATAATGACTAATAGGATTTCCAAAGTGGAAGATATTCTTTCAATAAAATAAAGATCTCAAATAAATATAAACAAGGGTGATCATGTTTAAATTCATGTTCATCATAGTTGTACTAGAAATTATTAATCAAATTTTGCTCAACACCATGTCAAAACAACACCTGCATATGATAATGTATGCAATTGATGCAAACTCACGCCAAGCCCTCAGTAAAATTGTAACGCAATATAGAGCAGAGAGATTCATCAAGGCATTCTGAAACAAACATTATTCTTGTACACAGAAACTGGATGTTGCGCCTCCAGAATCTTTCTTTGCATACACTAGTATGCAATTAACAATACAGGATCACATTTTCAACATCATAATAGCAGCCTTGTGCAATTCCTTAGGTTTGAAATTGTCAGAGACCACCAAAAAAATCAGTGATATATTGAAATAACCCAAAAGAAATTGCAAGCATATTTACCATTTATCTAAAAAAAGTTGCTGCTCTATATTTGAGGGGGGGAAAAAACCATCAAGTAATTCTTGAAGTTTCACTTGATAATCTTTCATCACTAATCTATGATAATCCTGTGAAATGAAATCGCTGGTGGTTCTATCATTTTGATACGCCTTTCTGAAAGTAGCACTTATCTATCCACCAAAAAAAAAAAACCCAGAAAACCATATTCCAAGCTACGAATGTCCCAGTTAGAAGATAGCAGAACAACATCCCCTGCAACACTCAGGAAAATATTTTTGGTCAACTTGCCAGCCTGGGAAACAATAAACCAGTATAAAATTATCCTCCAGCAATAATACAATAAAAGGTGTTATCTTCCTTCTTAGCCTATAAACGTCATATGGCTTGGCCACTTCCCTAAATTTTTCAGGAGGAAGCCAACTCCTCAAATTTGAAAACAACTTCTCGAGGGAATACTTTGTATAAGTTGATCCTTTCACTCGACTTTAAAAAGAAACATAGCAATCAATAAAAATAATTACGAAAACGAGGAACCAGAATTTACCTTGCACGTTAATAGAAGATTTGAAGCTCACAACACACTCAGGGATAATATGCCTGTTCATAACACTCGACCAAACAACCTAACACTTGGGATGATTCTTGGGATCATAAGCACCAGTATAGAACTCAATACCAGAAGGATAATACTGTTGAGACGCTGTAACTACTTTCTCAACATTACCTAATATAGCTCTACACGGTATAATATGTTTTTCTCCATTATCATCTGCCTCTGAGAACTTGGCACTGAAAACACAGACCCAAATCATCAAAATGCATAAGAAAAAGGAACTGAAAACCTAACAAATCTCCAAAAACTAGAGATAATTCAAACAAAACGTGATCAGTGCATTACACCACACGAGGCGATTGAAGTACATGTACGAGGTGATTGAAGTACATGAACCTTGCCGGCTGACACAGGAGTGTCCTCTGCTTATCCAAATTGGTCGGGTTAGCCTTACAAAGCAAAATGTTTTTGAGGTTGTTTATCTAGAATTTAGATTATTTTTTTAAAAAAAAAATTAAAAAAAAATTATTTTATTTTATTTTTTTACTTTAAATAAATTATTTTTTATATTTTTAGATCATTTTGACGTGATAATGTTAAAAATAATTTTTTTAAAAATTATTATCTCTAATCAAAAAGCACTTTAAAAAATAACCACTATCATATTTTTAAACACCTACTAAATTTAATTATTAGGTTTCATTTATATTATTTCGGTGTTTCATAATTTTAGAGTGAAATTATAAATATATAATTCTAATTTAAGATGTTTTGAAAAATTTTAAATTAAAGTCTTTTGACTTGATCAATTAGCATCTATTAAGTTCTATATTTTATTTATGAAGGGTGAAATTATTTCCTTGATTTTATATCTCTAAAGCAATGATTTTATTTGTATCTTTAGAATGGTTAGTTGTTTACAACTATATCTCTTTGGTTTGAAAGCTTAGAGTGGTGTGTGTGAAATATTTTTATTTATGTGAGTGACTTGTGGGATTTTCATACCATCTCGATATCAAGTTAGTATAAAAACTTTGATTCTACAACGATGGTTATTCATGGACGACATGTGCAAGAATTTGAGAGGGACATTCGTGCTCTTAAAATGGATGAAATGAGAAAGCAAATCCAACAACTCTAGGAACATCTTAAACAATATGAGAATTGAGACAATGATGATGAGAACGATACTGAAATTAGCTCACCATGAATCAGATAGTGATGGTTCTTCATCTCATCACCGAAGAAGAAGAAGAAGAAGAAATAAAAGTCCTTATCAAGAATCGAATACGAGAGTTGATATTCCTGAATTTTAAAGGAAAATGCAACCTAATGAGTTCATTGATTAACTTCAAATTATGGAGAGGATTTTCAATTTCAAAAAATTTCTTAAAGATAAAAAAGTAAAGTTGATGGCTCTAAAACTCAAAAAGTATGCTTCCTTATGTTGGGAGAATTAGAGAGCTTGTAAGGTGACACGACGAAAAGATTGATGTCTTCTCCCAAGTGTAGGAATGTCGAAGTAATAAATAACCCGGCAAGACCGGGGTCGAACCACAGGGAGGTTATTTGTACAAATTATAAATAACAATAATACAATAACAATAACAATAACAATAACAATAACAATAAGTAGTAGTAGTAGTAGTAGTAGTAGTAGTAGTAGTAGTAGTAGTAGTAGTAGTAGTAGTAGTAGTAGTAGTAGTAGTAGTAGTAGTAGTAGTAGTAGTAGTAGTAGTAGTAGTAGTAGTAGTAGTAGTAGTAGTACTAATAATAATAATAATAATAATAATAATAATAATAATAATAAAGAAAAAGAAGGAGAAGAAGAAGAAGAAGATGAGAACTTTGAGATGGAATATTAATGTAACGATTAAACAATGATAATAACAAATGTCAAGGTTAGAGGTTCCACTAATGGTATATCAAACAAGTATAGTATAAACTCTTATTATTGAATTGGAAACCACACACAAAGGAGGTTCCAATCAGATTATATATTGTTAACATGATTACATTAGTCATCTTATTCAATTAATGCTAATACTTGTAAATCTCGTCAAGCATTCATGATTATAACTTATGTTAACAACAAATCAAGTTCCTTTCATAGCTCAGGTGTCGGTTATACCATACATTATGGGCTATGAAAGTGCCAAGCATTTGTTGTACCAAGTGTTATACAACATAAATCAAGATTAGTCATTTAACAAGCAAAGTATTAAAGAGTGAACAAGATAACAAATATAAAACATGTTAGTATCAAACATTAAAGTCCATATTAAGTTTACATTATACTTATTCTTACACCATTAGTGTAACCTTTTCACCTTGACATAATTAACTTAGCTAGACATAATGAAAGAAAGCAAAATAGATAAACAAAATAAGAACATAAAAGTTAACTAAGTAAAGGAAAGGAAATGAAAGGCATAAACTTAATATTAATGAAAGCAAAGCATAAACATTACAAAAAATACAAAGAGAGAAAGGAAGAGCATGATCTTGATCTGGAAACCAAGATGCCTAAATGCATGGCAAATGCCTCCTTTTATAGGCCAAAATTGAGAACTATTGATTTGATGACTAATTGATAAGGGGGTGGCCAACTTTTGACTTGGTGACAATCCTTATCTTCTCTTGTCTGCCCAAAACGTCATTGATAACGTCCAAATTGAAGCCAGTTGTAAACATAAAAGTTGTAGGCAATTGTCTCAGCTTTCTTGTGTAAACAATTCAGCTCATTTGGACTTCTAGAACTCCAGATATGGCCAAAATACCGAACAGTGCTCGGGCTGGAAGACAGATTCGGGCTTCTTTGTTGTTGCTACAATTTGGACTTGATAATGGCCTTTTTAGATCTTGGGCTCCATATGAAAGTTGTAGGCCTATGTCTTACCTTTCCATCCATATAAATTGGACCTAAATCTGAGATCTGTAGCTCCAGATATGACCCAATTACCGAACAATGCTCCGGTTTGGATTGCACCGTTGTAACTCTAGATATGACCCAATTACCGAACAGTATTCCGGTTTGGATTGCACCGACATCTCTTTTCTAAGTTTGGCCATCTCTTTATCCTTGCAATTTAAGTTCTTCAAGTCATCAATCAATCCTTTCATTTATGGGATTGGCCTGCATTAAAAATAGACATTTACCATAAATTATAGGTTTCTTATATTATTAGATACATTATTATAAAACATATTTTAGTTAAGGAGTTATTGATACTTCAAGTGCAAAATGATGATATAAAACCATGATAAAAATGCACTTTTAAGTACTAATCATCACCTAATAATCGGACCTTTGCTTCAATCAACCAACGAATATCTTCAGGAATTCCATGATTCATTAACAATCTCAATCTTACACATCTAGCACGGTAAATTTTTGTAATCGCATTTTGAGGCAGAGCGGGAAAATACTTTTTCAATTTTTCAAGATTAGTGTCCATTTTCAAATGAGAATTGGAAGAGAGATTCAAAGAATTACACAAATATATACACAAATATCAGTTATTGTGGGAAACTGAAAGAACCGACTTAAGTCACGGAGTACCGTTGTTCGCCATTTGACCGGGGTGAGAGAAACTAGCAAAAATCAATCAAAAAGAAACACAAAAAAGAAAATGTGAGAAAAACAAAATAATCAACCTTTATCTACAAGATCATTCAAACCAGCTGATTCATTTTCACTAGGAAAATTATCAAAGTAAGCTTTCAAACGATGTCCATTTTCCTTAAAATCATTGTCATTCATTGAATTCTCAATATCACAGGCCCCATAAGGATTGGTCCATCTTAATCTTAGCTCTTTAGGGAATGCATAGAGTTGAGAATCATAAAACAAAACTTTTTGACTAGTGTCAATTTTTTGACAATTTTCACAAGTTTTGTAGAATGCATGTGTGTCTTTGAACATGGTGGGCCAATAAAATCTATTTTGAAAGATTTTTGCAGCAGTCTCTTTTGACGAGAAATAACTTCCACATGTTTCAAAATGACAAAGTTTAATGACACTACTTACCTCATTGTCAGGAATGAATCTTTGAAATATTTGATTAGGACAATATTTGAATAAGTTAGGGTCATCACAATAAAAGCTCTTCACTTCGTTCAAAAACTTTTCTTTGTCTTGAGTACTCCAATCAGTTGGCAAATCTCCTAAAGCAAGAAAATTGATATTTTTATCATACCAAGGCATTGGACTAAGAGAAAGTAAGGATTCAATAGGAAAGTAATCATCGATTGGTATGATGTCAGATGTCGAATCTGTTGTCATTGTTGACAAAAGATTCGCATCAACATTTTCTGTGCGTTTTTCATCCGTGATTTCTTCCTCAAAATAAATTATTTGCAAATCTTCAGATTCATCCAATTCATTTTTACTTAAAGTAGATTCAAGTTGATCATAGACTAATTCATCAATATGATCTACTTCTTGTAAATCATTATCATCTCCAGGTTGCTTGCAAATGTTGAAAATATTCATCTCCAATGTCATGTTTCCAAATGATAGCTTCATCAGTCCATTCCTACAATTAATCAATGCGTTAGAGGTTGCAAGAAACGTACGTCCTAAAATAACAGGAAATGAATTACATGCTTCAATAGGTGCTGTGTCCAAGACAATAAAATCCACAGGATAAATGAATTTATCGACTTGTACTAACACATCTTCAATTATTCCTCTAGGCATTTTTACAGATCTATCGGCAAGTAAAACAGATATAGAAGTTGGTTTTAACTCACCTAGATTAAGACTTTGAAAAACTGAATATGGAAGTAAATTCACACTAGCTCCAAGATCAAGTAAGCCTCTTTCAATTTTATGCTCTCCAATAAAGCAAGAAATTATAGCACAACCAGGGTCTTTATATTTCAAAGCATTATTCTTCTGAAGAATAGCACTTACTTGTTCGGCTAGAAAGGCTTTCTTTTTCACATTCAGTTTCCTCTTCATAGTGCATAGATCTTTTAAAAATTTAGCATTGGAAGGAACCTGTTTAATAGCATCCAGCAAAGGTATATTGATCCTTACCTATTTGAAAATTTCAAAAATTTCAGTGTTGTGATTGACTTTCCTTTGTTTGGTCATGGCTTGAGGAAATGGAAGTGCTGGCAGAGAATCAGTCTTTTCTTTGCAATTTTCAAATTCAACCCCTTCCTTACCCTTAGAGATTAACTCATCATTTTTCTCATAAGGTTCAAGAGAGGGTTTTTCAATAACCTTACCACTGCGCAAAGTAGTGACTAATTTGACTTGATCCATGTGTTGGCTTCCGGAACTACTTGTATTTGCATTGTATTGCCCCTTGGGATTTTGTTGTGGTTGAGATGGAAACTTACCTTTCTCTTGGAAACTGAGAGCATATGTTAATTTTGCAAGAGTATCTTTAAAATCTGTCATGCTTTGAGCAAGTTGAGTATTGATTGTCTCTTGCTTTT